CAGAACCGGAGCCAAGGCTGAAGGTGTAACCCTGTGACGACCGCTGCGTAGCCAGGTCGTCAACCCAGGAGGCGTCAGCGTGACCAGTGAGGACAACTCGAGCCCGTCCTCCAAGCACGAGCCCCATGCCCGATGTACTGCACAAGTATCGCAACACCCTCTTCGCAGCATCCCAGTGCACCTTTCGGTGCCTGCCGGGAGCCACGTAGCGAGCCAGAAGGCTGAGAGGGTATGCGAGGTCAGGTCGTGTGCAAGTCATCAGGTACATGAGGCAGCCCAGAAGCTCTGGATACGGGCCACTCGGCTCTACGGACTCGTCCGAAGGTGGAGCTGAGAGCGAGTGACCGGTAGGCAGAGGAGTGGACTGTGGCGAGGAGTAGGTGAAGCCGAAGCGCTGAAGGACCTGCTGCACCATGTGTGACTGAGTCAAGGTAATGGTGCGCTGTGCTCTGTCCCGGGTGATCCGCAAGCCAAGATAGCTTGTGAGCTCACCCAGGTCTGTGCACGTGTGTCTCTTCTGCAGCTCGGACTTCACGTGGGCGAGTGCCTCCGTGTCAGCAGTAGCAAAGACAAGGTCATCTACGTACACAAGAACGTAGAACGGCGGCAGAGTAGCGTCAGTGCGTAGAAACAGAGAAGGGTCAGCAGTGGAAGGAGCAAAACCAAGAGCAGCAAGAGTCGTCCTGAGCGTGTCGTGCCACTCACGGGGCGCCTGGCGGAGACCGTAGACTGGCCGCCGGAGGCTCCACTGGGTACCAGCAGGAAACGACCCAGTGAAGCCAGGTGGGCGGCGCAGCCAGATCTCCTCGTGCAGGCTGCCCTGTAGGAAGGCTGTGCTGAAGTCAAGCGAGTGGAGCTCGTAGTCACGCTGAGCAGCAACGTGCAGCAGTACCCGAAGAGTGGTCATCTTCGGGGTAGGGGAGAAGGTCTGAAAGAAGTCAACTCCCTGTCGCTGTCTGAAGCCATGTGCAACGTAACGCGCCTTGAAGGCAGGCGGAGAACCCGGCGGCCGCTTCACCCTGAAGATCCACATGCCACTGACGATGTTTGCCCCAGGCGGGGGAACCTCGTCGACGTAGGTGCCTGTGGACTTCCAGGAAGCCATCTCGGCGTCCATGGCTGCCTGCCACTGAGAGGAGTAGGGACCCTCTATCGCCTCTGCGTAAGAGCGCGGGGTCGGGATGTCTGGTGCATCCGGGTCTCCCTCAGGGGCAAGCAGCATGGACACGAGATGAGGTGAAGCAGCGGCAAAGCACTCAAGGTCCTCCTGCCTGTCCTCAAGGACGTCCGTGCCAAGAGCACACTCACCCCCGACGGACGGAGGACAAACAGACGCAGACGCAGACTCAGCAACAAGACTAGTGGCGTAGTGTAAGCGACAGGCTGCAGCAAAGTCAACAAGCTCAGCATCAAGAGCAGATGCAGCCGAGGACTCAAACAGAGGGTCAGTGACAGCAGTGGCCAGAAAGCGCGTGACAGTAGGACTAGCAGCACGAAGGGAGTCAGACTCCGGGTCCGGACCGTCAGGAAGAGAGGACGCAGGAGGAGAGGGCAGAGGGACACGCTGTGAAGCAGTAGAAGGACGCAGTGTCATAGAGTGAGTGCCTGGGACAGGAGGAAGACGCGGACGCGAAACACAACCAGCACGAACAGTGCGGACAGGCGACGCAGAACGAGGCGCAGGCGACACAGGACGAGACTCAGGCTCACGACGCTCCGTAAGACCTCTAGTCGGACCAGAGTAAGGAGAAGGACCAGGCAGGGGAGAGGCCGGCTGCAACTGCGACTGAGACTGGACAGGCGGTGGACTCAGGAAAGGAGGAGGAGGACCAGGAAAAGGCGGGGAGCCAAGAACCTGCTGAAGGAGCGGAACGTAGTACGGCCGCGGCCGCGCAGCGCCTCCAGAAACAGCAGAGACAGAACCGGTACCCTCAGCCCCAGGGTCTCCAGTCCCTGCAGCACCTCCAGTAGCTCCAGCACCAGCAGCACCTCCTGTAGCTCCAGCACCAGCACCACCTCCAGCAGCACCAGCACCCCCAGCAGCTCCAGCAGCTCCAGCACCAGCACCACCTCCAGCAGTGCCAGCACCTCCAGTAGCTCCAGTAGCACCTCCAGCACCAGCAGCACCTCCAGCAGCTCCAGCACCAGCAGCACCTCCAGCAGCTCCAGCACCAGCACCACCTCCAGCAGCGCCAGCACCTCCAGCAGCACCCACACCAGCAGCACCTCCAGCAGCAACCCGACAGCGCCGAGAGTACCACTCACGAAGCCGCTGTGGAGAGAGGGGCTCCCGCCACGACGGGACACCCAGAGCACCTCCAGACTCAACACACGCAGGCTCAGCACCTCCAGACACAGTACCCTCAGGCGCCACACCCCCAGGCTCAGCACGCCCAGTCTCAGCACCCCCAGACTCAGCACCCCCAGTCCCCGCACCCGCAGGGTCAGCACCCCTAGCAGCACCTGAGTCGACAGCTACCTCGACCGGCTCGGCAGGGTCTACCTGGGACACACCTGAGGGGCCAGGACCCTGGGGGGGGAGGGGGTCTACCGGAGGAGTACCTGGGGCAAGGAAGAGCGGCGGGGGAGGGGGAGAGGCAGTGCGGTAGGGAAAGAGACGGTAGTACGACACCGACTCGTCAAACGTGACGTCCTGAGAGGACAGAACACGACGCGAGCTGGGGTGGTAGAACTGCCACCCGGGTGCGTCAGGAGGGAAGCCAAGGAAGACACAGGGAACGGCACGGGAGGACAGCTTGTCCGCTGTAGTATCGCGGACAAAAGCTCGAGATCGCCAGACACGGAACGCGGACGCATCGCCAACCTTCCCCGTCCACCGCAGAGTAGGTGTGGTATCCGACAAGGAGACACGAGGCTGAAGGTTGATCTGATGCGCAGCGTACTGAACCGCGAACGGCCACAGAAAGTGGGGAGCAGCCGCATGGATCATGGACGTACGAGCGACATCCATGACCATGCCAATGCGGCGCTCAGCAATCCCATTTTGCTGCGGGGAGGCCGGAAGCGTGAACGTCTTGCGGATGCCCTCCAAACGACAGAAGGCTCTCAGAAGGTCGGAGGAAAACTCCCCGCCTCTGTCTGAGTGCAGACGCAAAACAGGAAGGTCGGAGCCGAAACTCTCACTAAGCTGGCGACGAGCACCGCGGATCCAGTCGATCAACACCTCAGTGACCTCACCCTTGCTGCGCAAGGGGAAGACTGTGGTGTAACGCGAGTAGTCGTCAACGACCAGCAGGAAGTAACGCTCGTGACCCTGTCCACGAACGCGGGCTGGGCCCCACACGTCCATGTGAAGAGTCTGCAGAGGGGCCTCAGTCGGAGGAAACGAGGAGGAGTGAGGAGCGGCGCGCTGCCGGCCCTCGACACAAGGAACACAGGTGGGGGCAGGCCCCGGAGGAAGGGGAGGGAGGGACCTGGGGAGTCCAGAGACAAGAGCACGGGAGGCCATACCTCGAAGACGAGGCAGGGAGGGGTGACCAAGGCGGTGGTGCCAGAGGAGAGTCTCGTGCGCCAGAGGACGACACGAGCAGGGGGCAGACGCAGGACTAGACCTGGACGCAGCAGCAAACACCTGACTGGACGCAGCTACCTCACCAGACGCAGGGACCGGAGGAGGCGCAGTAGTCAGTGTGTACAGACTCGACCCTGGCCGACGGGTGAACGTGGCCAGGTGGCGGCCCGTCCGAGAGCAAGTGCAGTGGGTCACACGCTGACCTCCAGGGGTGAACTGGTCAACCCACGCGTCCTGGAGGTCAGCTCCACTCACCAAGTTCGTAGAGAACGAGGGGAGGTGGAGTCCCGACAGCAAGCCCGACGGGGCCGCAGGACACGGTAGAACCGTGGAGGAGTGTGCAAGGACTGGTCCCCCAGAGGGGTCAGCAAGGGAGACCGCAACAGGCCGACGGAGCGGCGTGAGCGTGGTGCTGTCTCTAAAGAAAGAGCGCGAAGCACCAGAGTGAAGTGTGAAGGTGTGAAAGGACTCAGTAGGTGCAGTGCCAGAGGGAGGATACGTACCAGCACCTGGAGCAGCAGACGCACTAGCACCTAGAGCAGCAGCCGCACTAGCACCTAGAGCAGCAGCCACAGTGCCCGGGTCGGGCGGGACACGCAGGTAACAGTCACCCTCAGTAATATCAGCAAGAGCATACATGGCAGCAAGGATAGCATCAAAATCTAGATCAAAGATAGGCACATTCTGCAGAAGCAGATCATGCCAACAAGGAAGATCAACAGCGTCAGGAAACTGGGTACGCCAAGCGTCAGTCAAGCGGCCAAAGCAGCACTGCGTGGTGTGTGGGAGACCACACACCTCCCCACTACGAGTGCCGGTGCGAAGAACGTACGCGCAGGGACCTGCACCCCCAGACCTCCCACGTCCAGCGTACCACTCACGAAGTTGCTGAACAGACGGGGTCTCACGGGTGCGCAGCTGCTGCGGACGCTGGCTGCCACCAAGGTCTCCACGCTGCGTGGCCGCACCGCGACCAGCACCACCTCCTCCGCTACTTCCACCACCGCCGTCGCCGCCGCCACCTCCTCCACCACCGCCGCCACGGCCGCCACTGCCGCCACCTACGCCCCCACTCCCGGAACCACCCCCACCACCACCTCCACCTCCTCCACCTCCTCCACCGCTGCCTCCACCGCCCCCACCACCACCCCTGCTTCCCTTGCCCTTGCCAGTGCGGCGTCGCCCACTAGGGGCAGACGCAGCGCCGACCTCCTCAGTGCCAACGAGGTCGACAGCAGCAGCAGAGGCAACAGAGGGGAGAAGGGGGACAGGGGAACACCCCTCAAAGAAGGGGGTGCGACGTTCACCGCGAGAAGCACCAACAGCTAAGATACTCTTCTCAGCTGCAGCAAGGCGCTCCTCTAGCAAGTCGACAGTCAGCTCGGTGGGGCAAAGGGAGAGAAAGTGGTCCCTGACTGAAGAAAGAGAGTCAGGGAGGCGGGTGACTAGGTAGTAAAGGGTGATGTACATGGGGGGGGGGTTCTTGGCACAGAACTCAGTGGGAAGGGCAGCGCGGTAGCGGGCGTCACTAGTGCGAAGGTGAGCAACTAGGTCAGCGACAGTGTCAAAGGCAGCAAGGTCAGGGAAAAGGTACGGTAGCATGAGGCGGCTGAGGGCAGCAGTGGCAGGGGAGGAGTAGCGTGCAACTACAGCGTCGTACAGAGCCCTAGCACTCTTGTACTGACTAAAGTGCGCGCGCTCAGTAGACGGCAGGTGGTTGCGCACAGCAAGACGAGCAGCAGCATCGCGCGTGAGCCACTGCGAGCAAACAGTACTGTCAGCATCAGCAGTAGGGGCAGTAGAGGCGCCAGAAGTGAGATCGAACAGTGAGAGACCATCCTTGCTATCGCACTGTAGGAAAAGCTGCAGATCATCTAGCCAGACCTCAAAGTCAACAGCCCGACCCTCAGCATCAAAGGTAAGAACATTGAGACTAGCCATGACAGGAGAAGCAGCAGGCTAGCAGTAGCAGCAGTGGAACTCGGCTAAGCAGGCTAGGTAGGGCGGCGTGGCTCGGCAGCGCGGCAGCGAAGGATGAGGGGGGGAGGGGATCTGCAGCACCGACCCCCCCCCCCCCCCCCCCTCATCCTTCTCCTACCTCCCCCTGCTGCGGGTGCAGCAGTGGGGGGGAAGGGATCTGCCATCCCCCTGCTGCGGATGCGGCAGTGGGGGGAGGGGACCTGCAGCACCTGCCCCCCCTGCCCCCCCCCCTTCACCTCCATCTCTCTGCTGCTGGTGCAGCAGTGGGGGAGGGTATGGGGGTGGCGGGTGTGGCCAACCTGCTGTCGCCCGAGCGGCTCCTGCACCCCCCCCCCCCCCCCCCCCCCCCTTTCTCCTCCATCCCCCTGCTGTGGGTGTGGCGGTGGGGGGGAGGGGATCTGCAGCTCCAGCCCCCCCCCCCCCTTCTCCTCCGTCTCTCTGCTGCAGGTGCAGCAGTGGGGGAGGGTATGGGGGTGGCGGGTGTGGCCAACCTGCTGTCGCCCGAGCGGCTCCTGCACCGCCCCTTCTCCTACCTCCCCCCTGCTGCACGGGGATCTGCGGCACCAGCCCCCCCCCCCCTCCCCCCCTTCTCCTACCTCCCCCTGCTGCGGGTGCAGCAGTGGGGGGGAGGGGATCTGCAGCACCAGCCCCCCCCCCGCCCCCCCCCCCCTCCCCCTTCTCCTCCATCCCCTGCTGCAGGTGCAGCAGTGGGGGGGGGGTATGGGGTTGGCGGGTGTGGGTGCAACTGCGGGGTGGCGGGTATGGGGGTGGCGGGTGTGTGAACCGTCCCCTCCTCCTCCTCCACCTTCGTCTCCCACTGCTGCAGCTGCCGCTGAGGGGGGTGGGTGTGTGGGAGCCGAGGGAGTGGTGCTAGGGGGGTGACGTGGGAGTGGAGCTAGGGGTGCAGCAAGGGGTGTGTGAAAGGGGGGTGGGACAGTTGGGGGAGGTTGAACGGAGGTTGCCGTCTTGTCGTCCGCAACACCTGTAGTCCGAGGCTCTGCTTCTGGTAGCTCAAAGAGCCTGCTGCGCCTGTCGCCTGTGGGTCTGTTGCTCCTGCCGCTCTGAGTTAGCCGCAGAGCCAGTTACTCCTGTATTCCCGGGATACGGCTCCGGTAGCCACAGTGCGCGCCGCTCCTGTTGCCCGTGTGTCTGCAGCATCAGCCGTCGCCTCCTATCTACTCTCCTCTCACAGTCCAGCCTCCTCCTCACTTGCCCTTTGTGTATGCCTCTAGCTTTACTTGTACTTGTGAACCTGCTCTATGACTGCTTGCTCTGCTGATTATACCCCACTTTGACTATGGGGGTGTGTCCGAATATATTTGCTGTCTAGCCTGCAGTGGGGTACTCTGTAGTGAGTACAACCCAATTTAGGGTCTTGTATTTGTATCCCAACTCTTGCTAGTGAATCACCCCATTCTCGTCATTCTCGCTAGTATTCTAACAACCCATGTAGGAACAAGCCCTTAAGGAGGGGGTTCTTCCCGTCAAGTTGGATCCGTGCTACATGTCCGGGTCGGCTCAGTGCATCGGCCTTGTTGTGTAGTCCCGGCTTATAGATGATGTCGTAGTGGAAGTGTGTCTTGAGGATGTCCATCCACCGCACTTGTTGTCTGGAGAGTGTACGCTGTGACTTAGCTCCTTCCAAGTAGCACCTCCACGTTTGAAGGCTGTAACGATCACCATGGCCTCCTTATCGTATATGTGGTAGTTCAGCTCAGCTACAAGTAGCTTCTTACCGAGGTAAGCAATGGGTTGCAAGTTGCGTCTGTGACCCTGCATCAGTACTGCTCTGACTGCCTGGTCACTAGCATCTGCTTCCACGACGAAATATTTCTCTGGATCTGGTAGGATTAGTACTGGGGCGGTTGTCAGAGCTGTCTGTAGCTGCTCAATGGTTTGCTGTTGAGGAGTATCCCATTTATAGGGCGTAATCCTTTTCAGTAAGTTTGTGAGTGATGCTGCTATTTTACCGTACTGTGGCACGAACCTGTTGTAGTAGTCGGCAAAGCCTAGGAACTGCTGCAACTCCTTAACGTTTTCAAGAACCTTCCGTGCCTTGACGGCTTTGATTTTCCGCGGGTCTATGTGTACGCCCTCGGCACTCACCATGTGCCCAAGGAACTTTACTTTCTTCAGGGCGAAGTCACTCTTCGATAGCTTCACGTAGATTTTTTTTTTTCCGCGTGATCTCGAAGAATTTCCGCAGATGCCCCACATGCTCCTTCATATTTTGGAGTAGATCAAGATATCGTCCAGGTAGACTACCACGCACTCGTCCAGCAGGGGCTATAGGATGTGGTTCATCTCCGCCTGAAATGTTGCAGGTGCGTTGCATAGTTCGAACGGCATCACTATATATTCATTGGAGCTGTATCTGGTACGAAATGTTGTTCTGGGGATCGAGTTGTCTGGCATTTTTATCTGCCAGTAACCCGACCGTAGGTCCAGCTTTGAGAAGACTGTTGCACCACGCATTTGATCCGTGTGGTCGTTTATGCGCGGTATGGGATACTTATGTTTTATTATCTGTTTGTTCAGTGCCTGGTAGTCGATGCACATCTGTAAACTACCGTCCGACTTTGGAGTGAAGAGAACCAGTGCGCCGTAGGGTGATGTGGATGGTCGGATCAGTCCACGAACCAGCAGGTACTCTATCTGCTTCGTCATATCTGCAAGATCTGCTGGCTGAGGTGGTACTATGCACACGGAAAGTTGGTTTTGAGCCTGGTTCCTCGACAATCTTGTGCTGGTGATTTCGCTCCGGAGGCACTCCTGCAGGCAGGTCGTCCGGCATTATATCCTTGTTCTCGTCTAGAACCCTCTGTATTGCTGCAGGTAGCTCGAAGTTGGGCTTCTCTTCTTCTGCTGCCATCACCAGTGCCAGCTAACCCATGTGACTCTCGTTCACCGTTCTCTCAAACTACACAAGTGTCGCCTCTGGAATATCGCCCGTATCCATCCAGCTTCGCAGCTCCACACATTTCCCGTTGTTGTAGATGCAAGCTTTCCTATAGACCCATCGATCTCGGGGTTGAACCTCTTCAGAAAATCTCTGCCCAATATGAATTCAAGGCCCTTGATGTTCGTGAATGGTATCGTTGGCCTCCACCTCAGCGCCCTATCTGCAACTGTAGAGTTGAATCTCCGTGGATGGGTAGCCTGCTGTCGTCCACCATCGTTGCAGTGAACTGGGTCTCCTCCAAGGACGTATACCGAGTGGGACGCATCATTATCCTCCATCGCCCGGAGGCGTTGCCCTTTGCATAGCACCTCGAGTAGTGGTCGCTGCAGCTCCGAGTAGCTGAAGATGGTCTCATTGATAGGATCATAGGGTACATCAAGGAACACATCAGCCCTAGGTCTTGCACCAGAAGCTATAGATTCTATCTCAAACTTCACCTGACGATGGGTTGAAGGATTTTTCCGAGGCTTTTTGCTCCTGAGCCTGGAACCTTCCCAGAAGCTTTTGTAGCTATGTAGGCTTCACCTGTGGGGAGTGGGGAGCATTAACATTCCACTGATGGGAGATTATATTAACTCCTCGGAACGCTCGACCCTTTTCAACGCTCCGGAGTTGGTTCCCCAACTTTTCTGGTACCGGTACTATTTCTAAAGGCTTTCGCTTAGCCTCTAATTCTCCTGTAAAATTTTCAAAGGCTTTAAAACCATGAGAATGATTATTCTCAGTTAAAGTATCTTTATTGGATAACTTTAACAAATTCTTACTCGTCGGGGTGTACGGCTGGAGTTTCCCGGTCGGTGTAGGGTCTTGTTCCGCGGACTCTCCTTTTGTCTTGGCGATGTCCCCTGGTGTCGGCCGGTCGTGACGATTAAAATTCGCGCCTTCGTTTTCTCCCTTTTTCGCCCTCTCCGAAGTCGCCACGTTTTCCGCTTTTCGCCCTTTTTTTCTGGATCTTTTCCTCGTCGCCAGCTCGATCCTTGACTACTGGCGCGAGTTGTTTTTTTTGCTTCGTGTGTGCCGCACTGTTCTTGCCCTGCAACTCCGCACGTGCTTTCTTCATTTTCCAACACGCCAAGATTTGATGCCCTGTAGCGCCGCAAAATTCGCACGTTTCCGATTTTGCCGACCTTGTCGACATCCATCGGGTCGGCGGTTGTGGGAGGTGCCAATTGCTCCACGCCGAAATTCCTAGCCGGTTGGTTGTGTCGTGATCCGTGGTGGCTACTGTTCAATGCGTTGAACCGTTCTGCTGCGCACACAATGCCTCTGTAGCTGTTGTAATTCGCCGCAATAACCTGTCGGCGGAATTTCGTTTTTCAGCCCCGCACTGTAGGCCTGAATTCCCCGTCGGTCAGGTCCGTAATTCTGTTAAAAAGGAATTCCATCTACAGCGTGAACTGTGCTACACTCTTGATCTGTTCGCGCGCCATGTATGCAATATTAATTGGTTCAAATTGTTCGATCACGCCTGTCCGAAACTGCGCCCACGCCCCTTCGCCTCAGACTATGTCGTTATTGTAAATCCACTCAAGTTCAGGGCCTCGTAATAGTGCTGCTGCGAGCCGTATGCGCATCGCGTCGTGGGTTGGGGTCGTGCATCCAACGGCCTCGAAGAATATCTCGAGTACAGCTACGAATCGACGAACATCGCTCCCTTTCGCGGTAGGATCGAACGCCTCCAGTTGCCTCGGCTTTGCTGCTTTGAGGTTGACTGTAGCTGCTGCCGCTGTCGCTGGTACAAATGTCGGTATCGCTGCCGTCACTGTTGCTGTGGCGGCTGCCAACTGGTTCGCGAGCAGATTTTCAAGTTGCAGAAGTGCCGCGCGAGTCTGCTCCAGTTCGGCACGAAGGATCGCGAGATCACGTACGAAATTGTCGCCTGAGCCCTCCGTGCCTGTTCAATAACCATTTGTTAGAATATATTTCTGTATAACTGCATGTAGTTCTAGCTGTAGTGTAGTTATCTTGCTGTCCTGCTTGTGGTGCACCCCCTCCTTACTTGTCTCTTGTATAACTTGGGCCTTTGGCCCTTTACTGAATCATTCTTTCTCGACTTTTCTCCTTGTCCAACTCTCTCGACACTCAACCCTAGCATGGCTCCTAAGGATGCTCATATACCCTCCTAGCTACTATTCTAACACCATTCGGGGGGAGTTAAAAATCAATGCAGAACTTGCCTCCCTTTTGCTAAAACTGCCTTCCTTGCTTGCTGTTTGCAATTTGTTGTAAATCCAATCCATGCGATTCAAGCCATTGCGCCTTGCCGATGGTGATTGCCAAGCTGCTTTTTATGGCGCCACCCACCCCCACCTCCTCCCACTCCTTCCCCGCCTCATCCCCTCCCTCCTCGCAGTCCACCCATCAGCAGCAGAAGCCTCTCACGCTCCATCCCACCATCATGATCCATCCCACTCACATGCTGCCTCGACTATCCTCGTAAACTCCCACTCCGCCACCTCCCTCACTGCCTCTTTCTACTCCTCTGCTTCCCCCACCTCCATCCCACAATCCTCATCCTCGCCCCATGCTCGCGCAAACAGCTCGTTGCACCCCCCTCCCCTCGCTCCTCCCCCCTCCTCCACCACCTCCTCCTCTCCGTCACCCCCCTCACACCCGCCCCTCTCCGTCATCTCGAGAAGCATTCGGTGCGTGCCTTCCTCCTTTCCTCACTCGCTGCAGCCGTCACTGCGGAGAGTCACTCTACAACGATGGGTGAAGGCACGGGTGGTATGATTGATCGTAGCTTTGCTTGTGTTCTCACTATTTGCGTAATCATAGAGCAATATGGCAAGAGTTTCACTAGCAAAACGAGAATACAGA